AAAAGACGGCATTTCTTCCCAAAGTAAAGTTTCAGGAGACCGGATCATGCTTCTACGCGACATGCGAACGGGGTCGCCGTTGCTCCCTTCAGGGTGATTTTCCAGGGTGGCCTGGGATGCTTTCTGATGCTTTTCCTTCACGTAAAATGAAAGCGGCGTTTGTTTATACAACCGCTCCTTGTGCGCCGCTTGCGGAGTGGTAGATGCACCAAGGTGGCTCTTTATCATTGGCCATTTTACTTCTGGGGAGTAGGTGAAAAGCAATTTGAATAACGGTGGTGGCTCTGCTTTGAGATGTCTCATAGAAGGGTGATCCGGTCTCCTGAAACTTTACTTTGGGAAGAAATGCCGTCTTTTACCGCCCCATCCCATTCCGTTCTACCTCACTCTGTATTTGTTGTGCTACCGTGAGGCCCCTTAGATCGCAGAGAAGTATAACTAAGTCACGAATTTTTCTACCTAAGACCAATTTTAAACGTCTAATGGAAATAGAAGCCTTATGCATTTTAGAATATTTCCTCTGGTGTTAGGCACCATGAAGTGCAGTGTGAGTCTTTTTTTTTTTTAAAGCATACTTTTTGGACAATTAATTGTATTATGAAGGGATATTAAAAAAGTTTACGGGAGCCCATTTTATGCCCATGAAACAAGTTAACAGTGGGGATGATGAGGAAGTGTATATTTGTAAATTAATTTATATGGCTTGTCTTTTTCTCTGGTTGATATTTAAAATCAATGTTTATTTAGACGTGAGAAGTAATTAATAATTATTAATGTTACATTAATAACATATTGAAGAAAGTAGATATTAAGAACGGTACCAGTCGTAGCAGGAGTAGTTGAAATATATGTCATCACTTTTTTGCATTGTGATGTCTTTTACTTCAACAGCTCTCCCTTCTCTCCCCCTCCCATCATGATCAAACCCAAGGCTTCAGGCACTCTAGGGCTTGTGCTGTTGAGCCATATTCCCAAACTTAATCTTACACTTTCTCATGGAAAGAGACGTTACAGCAGCATATTTTTGTTTACTTTAAATACCTCAGTAGATTTCAGTCCACTTTTTGGAATTTAATAAATAGGTTAAATGCGTAAGAAATTAGGGAGAAAAAGAAACCAAACTAGTAACTTTTAAAGGTGGGGAAATTTAATGAGGAGGCAAATGTCCAAATTTTATCAAGATAGTTGATATAAAGAAAATAATTTGTTAGGTTTGGTTAGCTTGGAGTGTGTGAACAGCTTCTTACTTTAAACATGCCTAGGAACAATAAAGAACACCCCAGGAAAATATCCTGTCTACGGGGCACTCTTCTGTGATCGTCTTTAGAACATGCAGGTGGGATTAGGATCTCATCTTTCTCCCTACGGCAGGTTCTTTGGAGGAAAGCCAAGAGTTGGCTTTAGAATTATGCCAGTGTGAGAACATGCTTAGTAGGAGTGCACTGGTTTTCCGGTTTTGAGTCAATAGGATGAAATCTACTACTCTCTAACGAACATTCTCATATTAATTGATGTCTCATCGTCACAGTTCCTCTGTGATGCAGACGGGGTACATTATAGGAGAAGAAGCAATCTCAGAGGTCAATGAAATACTTTGCTCCCAGCTCCAGAGCTCCAAAGTCTGAACTTTAACTCTTAATAAACTGATAAAACATTTTCATTTATATTTCTGTTACACAGTCAGGGAGCCTCATAGAAGCCATTGCAGCAGGAACAGGATTAGATTTAGAACTCAGTAAATATCGGGATGGTGATCTTCCTTAGCGTGAACAGACTCTGTGTTTAATTCTTAGTATCACAAAAGCCCTCAGGTACAGAGGCATGCTTGTACAGAAGCCATATAGATAATGCTTACATGCTGTGTAAAGTAAAATATAACCAGAGTCTTTCTATTTTAGGGAAAATCCAGAAAGAACTTTTGATTTGGTGTTGAAAGTGAAGTGTCATGCCTCTGAAAATGAAGGTATGTGTTCTTTTACCTCCTCCTGTAATCAAGTGTGTCAAAACAAGTGTTAATGCTGTGTTCTTGCGCTGCATGATTGTATCGGGAACTTGATAGTGCCAGAAGTCTGTTCCAGGATCTCAAATTGCTGGTAATAAAATAGATGCGAGGTCTTGGCTTTCGGCTTGTAGAAATCAGGGTTGTTATCTGGGCAGCTTGGGTTTTAACTTACAGCTCAGTTTTGCTCTCTGTTGACAAAACTGGCCTTGTTCATGGTAAGAAGGCATTTCATTTCATTTGCTTTCATCTGTGTTTGGAAAGTCAGCTTTATTAAAAAAAATACTGTAAATTTTTCTGCAAGTACTAATGGTACCTTCACCAGTTCCTTCTGGTGTTTCTGGAATGTACTGGAATACATTCTGGAATGTACTGAATAGCTCCTTCTGTTGGATTTATTCCAGTTGCACAGAACTTGGGAAGGTAAACACGTGTAACATAACTTGGAAGGTTCTATACAATTTTCCAGAAAACAAATATTTACTTTTTAAAGTATTGTGACTTTTGTCCATTTTTTTTTTAAAATCTCATTTCCTATAGCATGTGTGTCTTTGGAAGCATAGTCAGTCAAAGGCAAAGGAACATCTCTTTTTGCTAATTTTTGTACATACTATACGTTTTTAGTACATGGCTCATTAGCGGTATACTTAGGCCCTAGATGGCAAGGCCATTAAGTGTGGGGCTTTGTGGAGACCAGTTAGCCATCCTGAAGCCTGGGTGGGAAGTCGCTGACACTCTTAGTCCTAAGATTAGTCAGCAATTACATACTCTTAAGTAATTTGGTGCTGCACACCTTAAAATAGAGGAGCCCAGCCCAGCTGTGGTGAAATGGGTATGGCTAATTTTAGGTAGGAAATCACATACATTCTTGGCCCCAGACCTTCTGTGAGCTTTGTTTCTGGTCTCCTGGAACTACAGCTCTGATCAAGTTTGCCAGTTAGCAAGAAGAAATCCTAGGTTCCAAGTAACGTCTTCCAAGTAGAGAAGTCGTCGTCCATGATTGTCCTCCACGTGGTAGAGCTTGCACATTTGGGTCCCCCAGTCACAGCCAAGTCCTCTGTGCAGCTTGGACTTGTGTCTCTTGTGCACACACACATGCGTATGTTAATTTTCCAGACTCTGCTTGAATTGATAGCGCGCTTTTGAAATGAGTTGACCTTAGAAGACCTGCTTCACTGTTAAGCTAAGGTGTGTGAAGCAGCTCTCATCTGATGTGTTATACAGCAGGGTAAATTCTTTTGGGAAACACGGGAGCTTTTTCATTTTAAATGTGTGTTCTTCAAAGCAGTCTTATAAAAGTATAAAAGTGCTTCATGTAACAGCTGGTCTGCGCATGTGTTAAACTGTGGTTCACGTAAGGCCTTCTTGGTGTCATCCTTGCTTCCTCCGTCTGCTGTCTGCGTTTTCTGACTGGTTGTTCCAGTGCACAGCTGTTACTGACTTCTTTTCTTGCCATCTCACCTTACTGCTGCTGTGAAATCACTGCTTTCCAGAGACATCTTCGTTTGTGTTTTACAGTTTACACAGTCTGGCAAAGTTGAGAATATCGTAAGTGGACAAGACAAGCAATTTTGGCTTCTCTTCAAGCTGGTCAGTCCATTCTTTGTATATGTGATATGTGTGCATTAGTGTGTGAATGCCAGCACACACTTGGCCTGGTGTGTATGTAGAAGTCAGATGAGGATTTCAAATGTTGGCCTTTACTGTCTACTTTGTTTGAGACGGGGTTTCTTTGTTGTTCACAGGTACTCTGGTTACCAGGCTAGCTGGCACTCGTGTTCTGGAGGCCTTGCCTGACTCTACCTCCTATCTCCCCTTGGCTCTGGGATTACATATGTGTACCACCTCGCTGAACTTTGGTTCTGAACTTAGGTCTTAACATTTGTGAGGCAAGCACCTTACCCACTGAACCATCTGCCTGTCTCAGAGAATTGTCAAGACTACCTCAGATCAAGGTTCCTTTTTGTGCCCCCGCCCCTTATCCACAGTTTGGACAGTGCTGGGGACTGAATTAGTACCACGTGTTAATTTACAAAAGTCTGAACCACTGAGCTGGAGCCTCAGTTTTAGCGTGTCCACACTAGCTTACTACCTGGCAGCAAATTCTAAAGATTTAAAATTGTTCCTCCCCCCCCCCCCCCCCGCTTTTTTTCTGGGACTGTTTCTCACTGCTACAGCTCAGGCCGGCCTCAGGTCTGCGGGCTTTGCAGTTGGCCTTTTAGCGCTGGGACTGGGGTGTGCCACTGCACCTGGCTTGAAGGCTTTTTAAAGCTAAATTCAGCCACATCCAAACATTACCATTTTTTTTTTTGCTTCAGCGATGCCTTGCATCATTTAAACATGATGAATATTTTAGGTTCCATGAAGTTATAACCTTTTGTACCCTAAGAAGTCATGGCACATATAACTAAGTGGGATCTAAAAGTAAAATTTTGTGCCAAGTTGCTTGGTGTTTCTATAATATCTTATTAATTACCTCTTTTATTGCTAAATAGTAAAAGAACAAATATGGAAGTTCTTTGAAAAGTATTGGAGCATTTCCTTGTAATTGTCAATAGCTGGTTTGTTTTAA